CAGTGGTTTTGGTCTGGGGTTGAACCATAGGGTTGGACCCTTATCTTGGGGGATCCCAATAATGTTGCAGATCTTCCAGTTCTCAACTTAACTAAGGGCTGCTTTTCTTCTTCGAGTTCTCCTCTCCCTTTTAAACTCTAACATTGGCCTATGGCCTGTATAACAAAAGTTCATTTATAACTTACCTGATGAAGCTTGCCGAAGTTGCCTAGAATTCATCTGTGCGTTGAATTTGTGTTGGGCAGAACAGAGGTCCAGTAAATATTTACAAGTCTTGGCCGTGTCCGTAATGAACGTATGCTTCTTGCCACTGAAGCTGCTTTCAATCATGAATTTTTTCCTCTGAAGGGAAAAAAAAACGCAGAGCTTGATTCAAAGAAAACATCAGTCATAATCCTGAGACTCTGAAAGTTTCTTCTGTACAGTCCTGTTGGTCTGTATGAGTATATTTATGCCTGGCCGCCTGCCTTTGGGGGCAGTAAATGCGTATCATAAAGTCAACATTTGTGAGTGAGGTGTCAGCCATGTAGATCGTAACTACCCTATGCTGAAGTCAGGAGCCTTTGGACATTGGCTACATTGGGAACAGGTAAATAAGTCTGGCAAAACTTGGCCCTATTCATGTTAAAGTGTATAAAACAACTGAATGTGAAAATGAAAATATCTTCAAGAGGCAAATGGGCTATTTTGGGAGAGAAAAGAGGCTGGGATAGAAGAACACTCTGACGGTGTGATAGGTCTCTGATGGCAGGAGACTACTTAGAGGGCTTGTAAGCCTGTTACAAATACTGGTCTCCAAACAGACATCAGCATACAAGAAGGTGGGGTTGGGAAGATGAGATCTAGAAAGAGAGAGACATGATCCCATGACTTGTTGTAAAAAGAAAAACACAGGAGAAAAGAAAGGGAAGTATAGAGGAGAGGGGAATGAGCATACATATATATGAGGTATACACTATGCACTGCACTGAACATCACTAAGAATCCAATTCTCAGGATCTACATCCAGACAGGGCCTTGATTTGAGGCTATTTTCAATATGGGTGTGTCTGTATATAACAAGTTAAATTCTGGCTCTGGATGCAAAGTATTTATAAGATGGACAGGCAGATGGGGCATAAAGTAGTAAGAGGAGAAAAGAAATTCACATGTTTCCAACTCACATGAGCTGAAATTCTCTCTGTTTCCCGCCACTGGAATCTTAAACTGGCAATTCTTGTGTGGTTTTTGACCTCATATACAATGATGCCTTTGGCACAGATTCCCAGGATGATGTCCCCTCCTGCTGTTTTCTTCTCTTGGGACACTCGATAGAATAGCACTCCATATTCAGGAAGCTGTTGGGTCACCTTTGTAGATAAAAAATGCAATAACCTTGCATTAATCAAGAAGAGGGGAGAGGAAAGGTAAATGGGAAAGGAAATTGTTGTGAGTGTCTCCACAAATTATTCTTTCACTCTCTCTAGAAACCTGTGGAAACTCTTACCAGATTTTCATCCCTGCTGCCTCACCTAATGCCTTACCTGACTGTGGTGTGTCATTAGTGCGTTCCCTGCACTAATTTTACATATGTAAAGTTGAAATAACATTTCTCCAGCATCTCCATTGAACGCATAAAAGGATTATTCAGTTTCTTGCATAATGATCTAAACATTATAGTGGCACTAAAATGTTCAGTGTTACTGCTACTCAGCACTTGTTCAGATTTCCAAATAGAAATGCGTGCAGAATTAATGCTACTTGACTAACATTAAACATTGTTCCTTTCCATTTTCTTTGCTGCATTTGTTTCCTCCAAAACCATGAAGTACAGCAAATATGCTGATGTTGCTAAGACCTAATACTTTGGCATCAGTTGTACTCTGATACTGTTATAGGTTTATGTGGTTTCCTTTCCACAACTGCAATGACGAACTGGAAATCCAAACAGCAAGGAAGCTACAGCTACTTAGATCCCACAGTTCTTTAGCAAATTGAATCAAACAAATTTGAGGACAATTTTCTGACATTTTTGTGACTTACATATCAATAAGAGTTTTCTCTATCTTTTTTTTTTTTTTTCCTGTCTTTGGAAGCTAATGCAGGAACTCAAAATAGCTTTTCAACCACAAATGGAGATTTTCAGCAACCAAATTAAAACACTTTAAGAACATGAATTTTTCAGAAAGTATCCAAAGTAAAAAATTCAGGTCGCCAAAATTGGGGCATCTATAATGAGTAGCCAATTTTTTGTTTTATTTTTTAAATCTTTTTTGTATTTGGAATTGCCATGTTCTTGCCATAGGGCTATCTTTCTCACATTGTATGATGTACTGGCTCCTTCTACAGTCTTACTCATTGAAGCAGATACTGTGCTAACAAAGCTGCTTTTCTTCACTGGGTTTTCCATGCATGATGGGACTGTCACTAAGACTAAGCTTCAGTGTATTTCTTCAATGGCAAGGACAGTGTTAGATGATAAACCATCATAATTAAGCAGCTAGCTTAGAATATTGCCATAAATGAACATATGTCTCACTGCAGCAGAGTGCAGTTATTGATATTTATCCATTCTCTAATTCATGGTATTTTTGATATGGTAGGAAAAACAAAGAGGAGGGAGAAGGATAAATCCCATATCATCATGGCACCCAGAGGTATAGATACATGGGAGAATATTTTAGACAACTCCCCCCTTCCTTCCACAATTTAAAAATAGTTTTAATCAAATAACAACTACTTGTTTAGAAAATGGCTGAATAGCTCCTATAGTTTCAAATGTTGAGAGGATGTTATTGCCTTTGCAATTTTCTCTAGTACATTAAATCAGTGTATCAGGGTATTCACAATCCTCTAGAACCTAGACAACACATCTGTTACCTGCTGAAAACATGAATTAGCCCTCAGCATATTTAATATTTGCATGAACTATTTATGAAAGGAAGCCTAATACTTAAGTGTGATACTGGCTATTCAGGCTGACAGTCTGTGCAGCAGATACTGTTTTAGTTTCTGATGGAGCTTACCACATCTAAAATCTTATATTGAACAAGAAGGAATTAGTAGAAGACAGTAAAAAGAGAGGGACTTGCTACCACAAAAAAAAAAAAATGTTGGGTATATGGTCAGTTACCTTTAAAAATTCTAGTTCGGCTTCATCCTCGAAGAGGGAACGGTTCATGCGATGCAGCTTAGCCAGCTCTCGCTGTACATTTGCCAGGGTCATTTTCTCTATTCGGCTTGTTGGAACATAGTCCTCAACACGAAAATAGCTCTTTCCATGCATCTTCAGAGAAAAAAAAGCAGCAGCCTTTACTTTGTTCTTTTTTGACTTTTCTTATTGGTTCATTTCCATTTTCAGGGTGACCCACATACTGAAGTCACCCTGCCAACATTTCCTAAGAGAAGATGGGGAGCAGTAGAGAGAGTCCAGCAGCTAAATGCAGCTTTTGCAGCCGTGGTTGGCCCAGTGCTTGGAGCACAGAGCGCTCCCCTGTGCCGAGAGGAGGAGAGAGAGGGACCTGGAGGCAGGAGTGCAGCCTTGCATTTAGAGCTGACAGTTGCATTGGCATCTGTTAATAAAATGGGAAACCCATGCCAGGGTATATCAGATTTTGGCTGATTTTAAAGCTGGACCACTCAGAGTTAATAAAGCCACATGGGTTTATATAAATGAAGATATGGCAGGGAATATAAGTAGGTATTTTCTGTACAAATTGTAACAGAGATGTACCATCAGCGATCCTTCTGTCTTTACATTTTATGGATCTGAACTTATACACAAAAATTTCTGTGAATTCTGGATTATTCCCTTATTTTTCTCTTCCATGTTTTCTAGTCTCCTTTCTAGTCTCCTTTCTAGTCTCCCTCTTGAGCCTCCAAGTTGTGTCCATTTTAGAAATTTTCTACATGTCTTCTTTCTGGCCAAAGTTATCAACTTTGAAGTACCAAGAGTCTTTCACTAGGTACCATCCTGCCAAATTTCCTGCCAAATTCATCTGTCTCATTATTGCTCCATAATACGGAAAATTTTGTAATTATTTAAATTAAAACTGAAATTTGGTTAGTGTATGAATTTGCTGAAGTTATATGTTATTCACATTGTTTCTTTAAACTCTGATGGCAGGCAACAGCTACAAAAGGTGGTGAAAGAGTACTTTGAAAATTATCATTTACATATACCTCAGAAACATAGTTGCCGAGCTCTGCCTGTAAAGCCAAAGCACCAAGTTTCAGGGCAGTCTCATCATTACAGTATAATCGCTCTTCCAAAATATCTTTACGAAGTTGCAGGTAAAACTGATGCCTTGTCAAGCTGTGCCTGGAACACAAGGAAGTTTAGGAAGATGACAGGAGCCCTGAATACTCGGCATAAATGCTACTATTTTTTCTGGTGTCAGAAGAAAAAAAAATCACTTACTGGATAACATTAAAGTGGTTGACAAAGAATTTTATTCTCAGAAAGAGGGTGAAATTAATGATGGAGGTTTTCTTCTTGGGTTGGTCATTCCAGCCTTCTGGAGCCACTTTGTAGAGTTTGGTCTCATCGTCCAAAAAGAAAAACTCTTTACCTGAAATGAGAATTGTGGGTTCTGTGGTAAGTCTGGAGATACTTCAGCTCAAAGAACTTTGAACACAGCTCCAAGTTCTGCTATGTACATTCTGTGCAGCACTAGCAATAAAACAGTAATAGATCATGGATTCGGTTGAGATCTGCTTCCCTGTGTCTTGGGCTAATTTCTTGCTCTTTGACAGAGAAAAGAGAATTTAGGATAAAGTTTAATGTGCTGGTTTGCTGGCACACGGTCCCAGGGTAGCCATGCTTTACATCAGAGCAGTACAGTTTACACCAATGTACCTTTTGTACTATGGATCTCTTTCCATCTGAGCATCAGGATCTTACAGAAATTCATTAATAAAGTGACTACAGAGGTGCTGTCAGAAGAGAACAGTACATTAGTTCGGTGTATCTCAGTACCTTTTAGATAAGCCAAGCCAAAGTAGAAATGTTCCACTAAGTTTGCATACGCCACCACCGTGTTGAAAACGTCTCTTGCCTTAGACTTGATGTCACATTTTACTTCAAGGCACTGCCCGTTGAGCAGAATGACGTTGAGATCCCTTTGGGACAAATAGGATTTCCCTTTTTTAGTCTAAGAACATGCAACAAAGAGTGAAGAATGAGTGCCGTGTTCAAGCAGAAGTTCCACAGCATTTTTTACCAAGATCCACAAGCTTCCTGTCCCTATATAACCTGCTGGGACTGTTCATGACTTTTTGTTGTTCCTTGCCTCCCTTACCATAAAATGATGTCCCAAACATTTCCATTTCCATGCTGAGCATTCTCAGATTTTACAGTCACCAGGGTCATTCTAGGTTTAAGGGTATTTCCAGATTTTCTTTAGCCTAATATCAGTTGCTGTTTGCTATTAACTTTCTACTTGATCTTACTGAAGAGTAGAGGATATGCCTGCAGACTGGAATACAGTACATTGGCACTAGATGTCACTTTGCGTATTTGCTGCATAATCTTATTCTCAAAAGTCTTGCTGAAGTGAGCATTCTTAGCTGAAAAGGATAAATTAAACAATTTTTCACACTGATCTCAGCAACACATACAGCTATGTAGTACTAAGAATTAAATGATTTCTTTTTTGAGTCTCATTATCTCTGCAGGAACCTTAACTTGGCTTGGAAGGAGGACATGACAGGAAGCCTGGAGTGGGATACAGGTGCAATTTATAGAGTCCCAACTTAAAGATCACTAAAGATCACTAAATTCTTAATAATCTTACTTACCACAATTGATCCAGGTAGCTGTAAGGTCACTGGTGGTTCACTAGATAAGATAATAAATTCTGGACCTGAAAACTGTGAGGATCAAATTTAGAGATTTAATAAACATCCGTTCCTGTGGAGAATATTATTTAGCCTGCCTTCCCCAGGACTTGCTGGCTCTGCTTTAACGCTGCGCTAAGCCTAGTCACCCAGCCAGTGGACGGTTTGATGTACAGAATGTGTAAGTGTCCCATGTACCGCTGTAAATTAGCGACAGAGCCGTGAGCAGAAAAAGATTCTGTATTCTAAATGTTATAGGGCACTGTCTTCCTTTTCACACTACAGACATCTTGAAGCACCAAACAATTTATAGGTGCAGACATCCAGCACAGGAAACTTTCTAAAATTCACCAAAATGATGAACACCATGCAGCCAATCACTGATATTCTGTCACGTATCAGAATTGTTAAATGTCAGTGAATACCAAATGATTAAAGGCAATCTTAGCTAGACCTTCTCAAAGAAGCCAGAAGCATGAGTTAGAAATGTCAGGAAGACACAATATACAGAAGAGCTTGCTATTTTGAGCAGTAATAATTTAAAGACCAGGCTCTGGCAGTTGCAGAACAGAGTACAGCAAATTAGTGAAGTTTCTGATGTGATAAAAAGTCAAAGTTGTTTTTTTTTAAAAAAAAAAGCACTATAGAAGGATCTCAAAGGCCCTGTCCTCTGTAAACCTTTACTCCTCTGCTTCATCTTACTACTTGCAGATCGTTACCTGTTCCCCTCTCCGCTGCAGTCGTTGCAGTCTGAGTCAAGGATCTAAAAACCATAGGCGAGTGTGACAGAAAGCAGCGCTGACCCCGCAGGTCCCTTCCTCCCTGCTCCCTACCCAGGGCCCAGGCCGAGCAGGGCCGGCTCCCTGCGCGCTCCCAGCGGTGCCTGCAGCTCTGCGCCGGGCATTGCTCTGGGTTCTGGAGAGCTCAGCTCTCTCCTGGCTTCAGTCGCTTTCCTCTGAGCTACATGAGCCTGTCCGGAAGCAGGGGTTGGGAAGCAGGGGGTACATCATTACAGCAGGCACTCAGACAAAAGGGCATGTTTCCTTTTTGGAGAAGGAATAAAAGCATCAAATGATGGATGAACACAGCAGAAAATGAAATTTGATGACACATACACCACTAGCGAAAATCAACTGTAACTTTACCTGTAAGAGGGCCAACAATTCCTACCTCTCCTCCATCCATCGCAGTATCCATACTCAGCTATGCAGAGGAAAAGTCCTTTCCCATAGGGATTTCCCTAGGGATTTTCTAAGAATTTCTAGGGATTTTCCCTTCAGGATCCTATCACACCTCTCATATATTCTCTTTTACATATAAAACCTCTACTTTGAAAATGAACTTTCTCTGACTTCAGATAACAAGGTCCAAAGCCTGTCTCCTGCAGCATCTGTCTCTGATTCCCCCAATGGTATAAAGAGAAATCAGGAAGTCATAAAATATATTCTGAGGATTTCTTCCAATGTGGGAGTAAAAGAGAGCAAAGCTTGTTCTGTGCCACCTTCCATATGGTCCTAGCACAGGGTCATCAGGAGGGGAGGAGGGGCCTTGGAAATGACCAATTGCAGCATTTTGTATAGTATTGAAGAACTATAGATTTAGAGCTGCTTCATGTCAGGAACAACTGGTCCAGAGGAATGGCCAAAGAAGCATAAAAACTTTCCTGTGCCATACAGAATCTAGCACAACTGGGACCTGGTGAATAACTGGTGATCCTAGTACTGCCCTATTAAAAGTAACGGCAAAGAAATCAGTGTTTGCCCTGATGTGTCTTAGTTCTTTTCTCTGTCTCACAATACAGTTTCTTTTAACATTTGTTGGACTCCTTTTGAGGAAGCTTTATTATTCCAATGAAAACCTTTAACCAAAACCTGTATCTGAAAAGATTTGTTCAGAATATCTAGCTGGAACTCTTGGTCTTCAATATTCTGCCAGTGGTCAGTCCTGAGACAGGAGAGAATGTGAATGCTGGGGAATGTAGAAAAGCATTGATGAGAAATACAGAAATGATAATGAGAGCAGCAGCAAGGGAGTGTGCAAGTATGATTCACTTGGCTGAAACTGGAGAGGGAGAGTGTTTGAAGAGCCATAAAAAAAAAAAAAAAAAGCCCTGGAAAACAGAAACTAAAATAGAAGCTGTTTTCCTCACTCCACAGAAATATGATTGCTAGGTTTGTTTGAGGTAGTAACAAAAGCAACCTAGATAAAATATCAAAAGGGTCTGCGTGTGTCTGTGTATGTGAGCTTGTAAACTTGGCACAGGTGAAAGTACCCTCCAGCCTGAATCCTGGCACTTCTGTGTTCCACAGGAGAGGGCATACCGGGGGCAGCTGCACTGTAGTGTTATCTGTGATTGTGTTATTGTGATCTGACTGCCAAAGAAGCATTTTCTTTCCCATTTAACATAGAGGAAAACCACAAAAATGTCCTTCAACAACGCAGCAGCCAAAAATAGACCCGTAGGCGAAAGACTGGTTTGGCACATTCACACCCTATGCTTTCTATCGTGGCATACACACATATAAAACAAATATAAGACCTTTGATCATCATTGACAAGTAAGGGTTTGGGTTCAGGCTCTCTGTAACTTTATTTATTGTGCTGAAGTTCCTGTTAAGGTGTTTGATCAAAACACTCCTTATGGTGTTTGCTGCTTTCAGAAATTGCACATGTAGGTCACAGAGGGTTCAATCCTAAGCTCCTGCTCATTTAGTATGTACAAGAACTTTCACTGCCTTCAGTTCTGAGCTGTTTATCACAACTGGCTCGTGCCTGATTTGGAATCTGTCATTTTAGGAGACCCATATAACAACATGACTCGGTCACTATGCATGTCACTGGTGGCTGATAACTGGATGAGAAATTTTTCATTAGAGGTATTTACATTTTGAAATCAAGTTATACATTTTTCATTGGTTACCTTCTCCTTCCTTTGGAACAAACATTTTTGTGATGCAGCGGCTGCTGCTGTGTAGTCCTTTGTAGACACAGAAAAGGTGGAGCCCAAACTGAGCAGGTTGTGTTTGCTGGTCTTCTGAGCTGCATTGGGGATTTCTTCTACAGCACTGACAGACCTGCAGAGGAGATGTCATATGAGCTATATGTCCAGTTGTGTATCCAAAACAACATCTAAATCAATTGAATACTAATTTGTTAGAATAAATCAATATCTTAGAGAGCTGAGAGAATTTTCAATTTAGTTGAAGATTAGTGTGAGAGCATAGTTCAGAAAACTGTTTTCACTGTACTTTCAACCCATAATGTTATGGTGTTTTCCAAATGAACAGACAAATGTATGCTTAAAATGAACTTACAGTATAATATATACTCAGCAGTGAGGAAAGAATGATCACATTACAGTAGAGAAAGTAAGGTTTTGTGGACATGGATTGTGTTTTTAAGAAATTGCAATTCACAAGAAAGCTTTTTTGTTATCCTAAAGTTTAATCCCTCTCTTGTGCATGTTACCAAGTTGCTTCAGGAAATTCTTTCAGGGAGTTTCGAAAGTTACTGGGAAGTTAACAAAGTTAACTTCTGGAGTAGTTTGTCTTCCCTTGTCTATAAATATATGTAAGGATCTCTGTTGCCATGAATGTAAGCACAGAAGGATTTTTTTACAAAGAAACATGCCTAAATTGACTTAAAGTGACTTTTGTGGGTATAAAAATGTTATGAGCTGAAAACCCAAGGTTCTGTATTAAGAAGACTTTCCTTCCCCATGATAAAATAATAAAATTTGTCTTACTGATATCCTTGACAGCTTTGTGATGATTATATATGTCTATACACGCACACACATACATACATATATGTATGTGCGTGTATATAGATATCTAGATAAGCATATTTGTGAATGTTTGTGATAGACAGTTATTTCTTCAGAAAAGCTGCTCCTGTCCTGCCTTCTGCTGGCAGTTGTTTCTTTTGAGAATTTTCTAGGTATACTGTGGTATTTCTTATGGCTCACATCATGGTGGCTGCCTCATCAGGAAGTTGAAACAGTTTACTTGGGACACTTTTAATTGGGAATTGATCCAAGTGGAGCACTTCCTGTGGGCCTGAATTACTCATGTCTGGTTAAAAGAAGAAACTCCTGTTTAACTGGGTCAAGAACTCAATTTAAATGGGATATCTGTGGGGATTATGTGGTGCTTATCGGTGAGATTCTGGCCTCTGTGATGCCTAGAGGCTAAGAGTACTTAACATTTCATCTCAGTTTGGAAACAGGTACCATTTCAGCTGCACTATGCTACAACTCTAGGCAACTTTTTTCATTTCAGGAGTGCAGTTTACCTGGCTTTTGAGAAGGAGTTGGCATCAGCTGTGTGAGTCAGAGTTCCCCTTGTCAGTGTCCAGGGCTGCTCTTAGACTTCTGTGGGTGAAATGAGGCTAATCCTTGCGACAGACCAGGGTGTTTTGCTGCTTGTGTCCCTGCTTTAACTAGTGGCTCGGGGCTGGGAATGGTTAAGGTAAGTGAGGCAAATCAGTTTAAGCACTAAGATGGAAATGAATATTATGGATTATGTAGATGGTCTGCCAGAAGCACTCCAGAATAAGTCATGTCTCAGCTAGTGTCACAGCAGTATGAGATGCAGACCCTGACCCAAAATCTCAGTGTAGACAAATAGGGACTCTGCAAATTGCCCTGCCCATAAAGGCAGCGACTGTCCATACATTCTTATCACTCCCCCCGATGGAAATGGTGTGCTCAGATTTTTCCCTTCCACGCTGCCTGCAGAGCTGCTTTTCAGCTGTTTCAGTCACAGTAGCCAGATGAGCTGCTCCTGCGTTGGCCAGTCTGATTTTGACTGGCATGTGCAGGGACAACTACGTGAGAGCTGTGCCAGCTCTTTGTAAGGCCATGACATCTGGCAGGACACAGTGATGAGAGAGTAAAGATGGAAGCCTTTGGTGCGTGTGTTTCAAAGGGACTGTTGATGGCCCAGGCTCCATTTCCCTCACTGAAGCATTAGGACAATTTTACTTGGGGCCAAAGGGAGTCTAGGTGCCCTAGCTCTGCATAAACAGTGTCTGCTATGACAATAGATGACAGATTCAGAAGATGATCCAGGCATTTTCCCATAATGACATGGCATTGCTACATCTCCTGTGCTCACTAGGTAATTAAAAAAAAAATCCTTCTTTTAGGCATGCACATTTCAATTACCTGTTTATGAAGAGTTTGTAGCTACTTTGTGTCCTTGACCCGCTGAGGGTGGGATCCCATGACCTGTGTGTCTGTGGGACTAAGCCTGAAATGAGAAAGGGAAATGGCACAACTGAAGCAGCAGTAGCAACTCTTGGCATTACACCCTGGGCCCATTACAACAAGGAGAAAAATGTGACCGGCTATTTCCTCTCTCAGGTGTTGGTTTGGGCATCATAAACAGCTGCTCGGTAGGGCTAAGTGAGTGCTACAGCAGCAGCATTCCCAGTTCTGTAGTTACTCCCTCTTCACAGGAATGAAGGTGGGAGAGTAGCTACATATGTACACTATCTGTTATTTCCATTCATATGTGGGGGTTGTGAAACAGCTTTTGCTCTTCAGAAGCTATATTTAATGCTCCTTGTTCTTCTCTTTCCAGGCATAAAATCAAGAAAAAATGTCATGTGATTTTCCCAGCTAACCAGAGTAGGATGTAAAATCACTGAAATGAAAACTCTAAATATTCTATGGGTTAATTGCTACTTAACTATTTTGCAAAAGTTTCTACATCATAAAAATCTAGAGAGAAAAGAATTAAATACAGGGATTTTTTTGAATCACCAGCAAATCAGACTTGAATTATTTTTTTTTGACCTTCAGTCATCTCTGCTGCTAGAGAAGGGATAGGCATTGCTTGCTCTAAATATGCAAAAGCTGAAGCTTAGAGGTAGAACCAGAAATAGTTATTCAAGATGTAGTTCCATGGACATTTTTTCTAGCAGGAAAGTTGTTTTAAAGCCTTTAAAGAAGAAGGAAGTGACTTAAATTTTTCTTTGCTTGGATCCTTTCATTGATTGTATTTAAATAATTGCCTGTCAAAATTTTACATAGGCAAAATTACAGAGATAATAAGTTGAGCTACTAGGAAAGGAATCAGTTAGACTAACATTTTTCTAGAAAAAAAATGTTCATGAACTGCATCCTAATACCTCACTCTGAATTCCTGCACAAAAATATAGCATTGAATTTCAGTATAATAGCTACTAACTGAAATTTTAAAACCTAGGGAACCTACATTTACGTTAATAAAATATACAGAAAACATATTTACATATTTACATTAGTAAAATATACAGAAAACATAAAATATGTAACTATGAAGAATTAATAACAATTGCTTTTTTTTTTTTCAAGCTGTAGATGGTGCTACAGCAGACAAGCTCTTTTAGTTCTCATTAATTTGGTAGTGACAAAATGTGGTACTGTGAGATAAGGCAAATAGTGAGGGATAGTTAAGCTTCACTTCTGTGTTCCAATTCAAAAGAATCATTATTCTTCTCAGCATCACACAAATACACCTCCCTAGCGACATAAGCCTGGGAGTACCTTCAACATGACCATATGTGGGTAGACTCACATTTCAGGTGACAAAATACTGAGTTGATCATTTATGACCACTGTTTTTCTGAAAATCTTACCTCTTCTATGTCCTTGGTTTGAGAGTATCAAAGATGTGCTTTCTGAAATACTATTCGAGTCACTATAGTCCACGGAGAAATGTCTGTAGTCTTCTGTTGACTGACTGTAATTCATTAATCTGGATCCTTTGTCTGGAAACAAAAGGGAAATGGTAAATCACAGACTTTTATTTTAAATTGGTGTAACTTAAATGGTAACTTAAATATCATTTGGCTTGCCTAGCTTTTGTTTAGTTCATGTTGCTATGTCTTTGGATCCTAACTTCAATTCTGCAAAGACCCAGGAAAGGTTGGTAACTTCGTTCTATTAACTGCCTGCCCAGAATCTTATTCTGACCCAAACTAGTTCTCGTAGTTCTCTTTGACCATTCCAAATGAAGGGAGTCCAATGTATTAATCGTATTTTACCAGCCCAACTGAAGGGTTACAAAATGTAAATATCTTAGAAATCTATATTCTGAGGACGGAAACCTTGAGCTGCAAGTATTCGTTTTCAGTGCTTGTTATACTGTGCCAAGACACAGTCCACTACCTGATTGAGCTGCAGAATTGCTTTGAGAGGCATCATCCTAAATCATTACAAAGTACACATTTCTGTTGCAGCCCAAATTTACTGTGTGCTACCTAGAAATGTATGGCTCAAAAAATCACACTTCCTTCTAAATATAATCATCAAACTGGTTCATTAAAGCTTTTAAGCAAGCATAAGTCATGAGATGTGAATCCCTAGAAAGCACAGAGACCTCCTTACATACATAATTACCAGGACCAATGCAAGGGAAAGGGCAGAAATGTGCGGCCATTTACCTTTGATAATACACTTGGTACAGAAAGTACAAAAACAATTTTGTTTTATATACACAGTTTTTATGCAAACTGCTCTAAGAGTCAAATATGCAAGCTGATTCATTACAGCCTCACAGCTTCCGACTGGTGTCCTTTGAGGAAATAAGGGACAGAAATCTTGCTGACTTGCCTCAAAGGTTTTGCATTGTGAGGTCATTTCTATGTAAAGCAGTAAATGTTGCATTCAGCACTACATATAATTGTCATGAACATGAAATCAAGCAATTCACCTGGCTCAGGAAAGCCTCAGAAAAGGCCCTTTGCAGCTTTATTAGACAGTTCAGATTAGAAGTCTTTCCTTACCTCCGTGAAAATTCATCCGGGAGGACAACGCTGAGGTGTCCAATGTTTTTTCATGCAGTCTTTTCCTTATCACATGACTTCTGTTGAGCTGAGAGGCTGTGCTGTCTTCAGTGACTGCCCGTTCTACCTAGAAGCCAGTGGTAGTGCTAGTCAATGTCATATGATATGTGAACTTCAGACCCTTATACTGAAGTGATCCTTGCCCTCAGCTTGTCAAAGGCTGCTGGTTTACTTGATATAAGCAACTTCATCTTCCCACATTAACAAAATGGTTATCATGAAGTCCCCTTAAAGGTTATGGTTGTTTAAGCATTAACTAAGAGAATGAAGATACTGCGAGGGCAAAAGCTGGGTTGCTGTCATTTCCTAGAAGTGCCAGCATAGTCTGAGATGGCTTCTTGTCTCATTCACTTTTCACAGGCCCATGCAATTTGCTGCTTAATCAAATATAATCAAATCTCACTTCCTTACTGGACACAAGTATTAATTCTAGGCAACTGCTCACTTGTATCACAAGTTGCTATTCATCTCTCTTACCAAAGAAAAGGAGATATTTAGAGCATAAGAGCAGTACCTACCTCACTGACACTTCCAAGCACAAGCTGGACCATTTTCTTTATGTAGACATTTGCTGGTAAGGAGTAGGATTCCTTCTGATGTGCTTCACATGCTTCCAGAATTGATTCAGGCGAAAGTCTTCTATGTGGCAGATCTTCGCATAGTGTCAGCAAGAGACTGTGTAGTTGGTCACTCAGCTGGAGGGACTGAGTCAACATGGAGATAATGTTAAATAACATCTCCCTTGTCTCAAGTCCTGTGTAAATAGGAGTTTCTGAAAATCTTTTGCACTGGGTGGGAGATGGACTCTGACTTCCATATACTTAGGGAAGGGTCCACACAGGCAGCAAAGCAGCAGTGAATGGAGCCTCTCCTGGGATGGAGGGTGGCCTTGAAAAGAACCAGTATATGCAGAGACTTAATCAGGCTCTGTACAGGGCTTCTTGGTGATAGCTGGCAGCTCAGAACGCAACACAACTTTGCTAAGGCTGTGCATCTTTGGGATTCATGCAAGGAAGACATGTTTTAGAGCTAGCCTCAAAAAATTGAGGAATTACACTAGGTGTTGGCCTAGACACCAGATCCATTTTTAAGAATAATTTAGCTTATCCTCCCTTAGACCATGTATACCCGTGAAAGGGAGGATATATCTACTAGAAAATAGTGATTTCCAAATCAGAAATGGGCAATCAAAGGCAAGGATATACAGATGAAGCAAAATACATGCCACAAATCTTTGAATGTCTGAGTATCAAGAAATACAAAATTGCAATTAGCAATTTTCACAGAATAACAGATTTCGTTCACCATGACACAAGATTTCTTACTAGCAGTGTTCTATCTAGTGGTCCAAATGAAGAAACCCTCTTATTGAGACTTCAGATTATATCTCTCAATCTTTGAAACTACTGATATGAGGCAGAGTAAAAGAAAACAAAAACACTCATGTTACTGGCCTGGTTTGGAGGAACCTGATAGTCTGCTGACCAGTAGCAGGTCATTCCTAAGGAATACACCAACATCTGTCAAAACAGAAAAGGAAGCCCTTTATGAAGTACACAGTAGTTACAGAAAAGCCTCTCTTGCTAGAGAGACTGAGACAGTCTGTGGCCACAAAGTGGCAGGAGCCAAACTGATTTTTTTAAGAGAAAAAGTATTTTTAAAAAGACTAGACAGAACATACCTAAAAGTAGAATAATGGCTCTTCATACATGGACTACATAGCTTACAAAAGGCATTGCTCAGTGTGAGGGGCCAGGCTAGTCTGCATTCTATACAAGGAGGTCATGAGTAGGAAAGTTGAACTGCTCTCTCAGTTTTGAAGCCCTTTGGGGATTAAACCAGTAACCCTACGTGGGGAACCAGCAGGGAGTATGTCCTGGGAGAGGACTGCTGAAATAAGGGCTCTTTACTCCAAAGCTCTGTGTTTCCACATAGTATCTGAAGTGCTCAATCCTGCGGGAGTCTGAAACTACAATGTTTCCTGCTAGAAAAACAAATGTGGCCCTAGCAATATTTGAATCTTTTAAGTGCTTGATTGTTGTATCTTACTGTCTTGCCAGAGGGACTCATTTGACAGGGAGAAGAAAACGGTTAAAAGAAAGCTGAACAGATTTCTGATTTACTGTGAGAGTTTCCACCCTCTGATTCTGTAGTACAGTCCTGCTGCTTCTGGGATGGATGTTACTGTAGGTGGTGAGATTTCATATTCATACAATTTTTCTTCTGGGGGCTTTTGCAAATAACACATTTCTGCAGACTCTGAGAACTATGTTCAAGGTTATTGTTGAGGTTGACACTCATTCTAATCTAATAGTGGGCTTCAAATTAGGTATAAAATTTTCTAACTGTAGCTTAGTTTGTTTAGTGTGATTAGAAATGGAGTTTGGTGGTAGCAGACTTGGTATGCTGCTTTGAAACCCCCAAGCTTGTCTTCATGAGGTACTTGCATGATTTATTTCAGTGTGCTTCACCTTTGTTAGTCCAATGTGCTTGTTTTTACTTGGTCCGTGGAGCAGTTCGGGTGCACTGAAAGGAACGGCTTCCGACTGAGATGCATGGTTTTGGAAAGACAGATTTCCTTCAGCAGATAGTAGCACTGACCATGGGCAAATCACCCAGATGGTGGGGTCTGAAAAATGTTAAAGAGGGTAACGGAGTTGTTACTGTTGCATTGAGAAAAGAAATACTGTTGGGGTCTCAACCACATAGCCAGATCTATCACTTGAATATTTCTGGAGAAAAACTCAGGAGTCATTGAAATCATTGCGCATTGTGCACAGCTGCCTTTGTGCCCTGGTGTTCCTTCTGTCACATCATTTCACACACAGAAACAATATACTGACTTCAGTGGACTTCTGAAGCTTAAGAAGAGGTAGCATGGCATTATATATGCCAATTCTGAATGAAATTAAAATCTCAACTTGTAGTATTTACCAGGCTTTATATATAAAACACAAGAGAATGTCAGGGAAGCATAATGCTCCTTCCAGTGAAGTATGAATATTCTGAAGCTGGCATTTGCAAAAGAGCTAAAGCTAGCTTCCATTAAATTACATGACAGTGGTGCAAATCTCCTCCTTGGGATTTTTTTTCTTCCAAGTGCTGCTTATAGTCAGTAAGATCTGCACTTCAGAGATCTCTTTCATTTCATTTCATTTAGCAAAGCCAGGTAATTTTACCAAGAAGTCCTATCTTTTTGTTCCCATTGTACAGGTGAAGAAACAGAGGCAGAGGAGGCTACAGTGACTACCAGCATAACAGAAACTGAGCTAGCAATAGAAACAAGTCCCAGAGCTATGATCTAGTATGTGTTTTACTTCCAATTGCCTGTAACTATCCAAACCAAAACATTGAAGGAGTTCTTTGAACACCATAAACAGCCATGTTTTATCATTAATTACATTCAAGCTTTCTAGCTGCACCTCAGGTCCATTGATAAAAAGAATATTTCAAACAAAAATCCCCTGTAAGGGCAGATGTAGACTCCTAAATCTTCTAGAACCTTCATGGCACTAATAAGTCTTAATAGCCCTCACCTGGGACTGCCAGCCTTACCTGGCTATTTAATTCAGACCTACAAGCCCTAAACTTCCTTTTTAGTGCAACAGAGATAATACTGGCTGTTTATCCATGTTCAGTAGACATCCAATCTTTTGGGGAAACCAGAGATATGAAGAGTATGGGGTAAGTTTATCATCTGCAACTGACTTAATAAGTCTCAATTAATCTGAGATTAATCTATCCAGGTGGGGATGTTATATATACACTGTATTCTTTAGTGCATTTTTAGTGCCTCTAAATGATCACTGGATCATGGAGAATTCATTGTTTATTTACTCTGTTACAGTGGTCCAGTTCATAAAAACCTTCTTCTCCCTCCAGCTATAGCAGTTGTTGTTTTTGCTTCTTTTCAGTATTTCATATTCTAATTTTATGTATTTATGAGGTAAGAACACATGTCATGCATTGCTCCCTCAAAAGAATTATTCATTATCATAAGCAGTTCTCCAAATGTAGCTGACAGGTTGCTTGTTTGTGCTGTTGTAGCATTCAGTGTGTTGAGTTGCCTAGCCAGTACAATAGTTATATTATTGCTATCACGCTGGAAAGTTTCTGCTAGCTAAATGAGGAGCCATGTGGATTTGCCTATCCTCTTCTCACTATCAATATAGGAAGGATATGATCCTAGTCCTCAGTGGTCTTTGTGAGGCTATATCTTATTTGGACTTTAAGAAAGACTCCTCTGCCCCGATCTGCCATGTATAGTTATCCTTAGATGAATTAATTTCTGACATATAGTTTGGGGAAAAACTAACACTACTGCAGTGTGAAGATTTCTGTGGTACAGCAATCTGCATGCAGGGCCAGTAGCTATAGCTACTGCTCTGAAAGGTTCCTCAGGTGATTTTGTAGAAATATGATATTACTCCCATCAATGCTTCTTGTTTGAGGGTTTTTGTTTTTTTTTTCCTAACAAAACAAAAAAAAATATGTCCTCAAGATTTAATTTTCCAAGGTGAAAACTGTAAGTAAGAAGGCCATTTTCATCCCACCTTTGTGAAGGTCCTCAAGAAGCTGCGCTGTGGCTAGGTACAAGAGTGCCCATATATCTTCTTCCTCCAAAGGGCTTCCTTTTGCCCACAGGACCTCGGCCAGTGTCACACAGGAACTGCTCATGCCTGCTGCAAAAATAATAATAATAATAAATAAATAAATAAGAATTGGCCATGGTAGAGGAGACTGAATTGCTCAGAGCAAACTGTAGTGCCTACAACTATAACCTCCCAGTAAGAAATCCTTTGTGAACCACCACCCTGCCTCTTTAACTGCTGACGTTAGGCTCAGTATATGCGTGTCTTAACCTGAGCAAGAGGGAAGGGGCTGAACTAAATGACTTCCTGTTGTCTTTTTCAGTGCTTTTACTTTTCATTTACTTTCCATTTGTAATCAATCATAAAACTTTGTGGGGCAAAGCACCTCTGCTCAGGAGATCCTTCATGAATTTTTACTGTTCACTTTGAGTGGTCATCTGAATGGTAGGACATTTATTTTTTTCCTTAATTGAATGCTCTTTCCTATAAAAACATGAGACTGCAATAAAGCATAGTCCTGTGGGCTTTTTTTCTCTCCAGGAAAATGGAAGTATCCTAAGAGAAAAGGAATGTCAAAGCAAGAGATGCTCTATGACAAAGGCTTATCAACATTGTCAAGCAAAGGGATTTATTTTTTTTTTTCTCCCATCATTGCTCAGCAGACTAATCACTAAAGACTTGGAGGCTCTCACTGAGAGATTTTTCTTGCTCAGGCACCCAGGGCCTGGAACCTGTGGTTCATTCATGCTAATATATTTATAAAATTGCCTTGTTTTGGTGAATCAGATTGAGAGAATTCTCCCTTTGTGCTGCTGAATAGCATGCAGTGATACCCAGCACACTGCCCTGCATAAGGAGGAACATAAGTCCTGGCCTACTGGCAAATGTTGGCCCGTGCACTCCTGTATTGGATGACATGTTGCTCAAGATAATTTAGAAGCAGGTATCCTGTAATGAACAGTAACTTACTGTCTATAAGAAAATTATTTGCTTAATCTCAGGCAACTGGAGACTGACTTGTGACTTGAACTTTCAAGGCTTGTTTTTCTCAAAAGGTTTTAACTTACTAAATGTTGTCAAGGAATGTTCTGTTAACTCACACACGGGTCTGATTTCACTATTTTGCAATTTGGTAGTGTGCTAGTTTAAATAGAGCTGCTTTAGATATACACATCTGTAAGGAAGATTGAGAGGGAAAAAAAAAAGCTTCAACTTGGATAAAAGCCTTCTGGAATTAATTTATATTTCTGCTGTTATTATCTTGGGAAGGTGAGTTCTGTAAGTTTGGTCTGCCCTGTAAACAGGGCCATAATGAGTGAAGCTGGAAGTGGTCCATCTATTGCTTTGCACCCTTGGCATTGTCTATAAAACACCATATGAGGATGCTAGGATATTGTTATGTGTATGGTTTGAAATGCAACTGTGAAATAGCTTCACTCACAGCCTGAAAGCAGCTCCGTTCTCCACACAGCTCTCTCTCTGCTATGGTTTGTCCTCTACCTGTAATAGTATTTACTGTCCAATAGCTGACTTCTTTGCCAGTTTCCCATTTATTGTGCAGTCTTCAAGGGGTCACTGCGAGACCATTACAATGTTTTGCAGATCAACTTGTTTCTAATTAACAGATAATGCTGAGGCTTTGCTTCATGGAACTCTGTGCTTCCTGACATGGAATCACAACATGGGAAAAACAGTCCCCTGCTGCAGTCACCACAGGATTATGGACCAACCTAGTGACAATTTAAATGGAACCAGAACTAATTTTAGTCTGTGTAACTTCAAGGGATAGTAAAGCTTCTTAAGAACCTAACCTTAATTAGAAGAGACATACAAATCTGCTTTATCTAAGCCATCACCATCTCTCCTAATAAATTACTGTGATAGCTTCTCACTTAACCCTGTAGTACTGGAACTAAGCAATCAATTCACATCCACACAGCTCGAATCTGCGTGGCTTCTCCGTAAGACTAATCCACCAGGCTCCCCTTACTGCAGTTTTATTTGGGACTGTATCAGAGTAGGGGGACTGTAGCTTCTGTTTTACATGGAAGTACTTATACACAGTGATTTCAGTGCTGACGTTTCTAATTAGCTTAAATTACTTGATAAGCAGCTATTCAGAGTTCAGGCCTTTCTGCTTCATGGAGCTAGTGAAATCAGCAATTACACCTGAGCTGCTTCACTTTTGTAGCTAATGTTTTTATTAGAAATCTTGAATTTCAGATTAATAGTGAGTAGGATTAAATTAATTCAGCTAGCAGTGATGTGCTAGCTGTGTGTGTGGTTAGGTCATATGCCTATATGTGTCTATATGAAGTTAATAAGCTATTGCTTTAATGATATAGTTTACTCTGTAGTTGATGTTTAAGCAGTGTGTTGCTTTAAAAGCAAATTGACAACTGATTTTTAAATATACTCAAATACTCTGTAGTTGTGGATTATAATCTTGATTTTTATTTTTTAAGATTAGAATTATAATTGAATGAATGTATGGGGGGAGGGAACACTTTTTTTAATAGCCAGCCCAGACTGCATATGTGTTTTGAGAGTAAAAATAATACAGTGGTGGTAGCACTGTAGCACCATGCATATTCATGGTCCTTCATTCCAATAAAGTCTGTGATCCAGAACTAAGCAATTCTGTCCTTGTTCAGACAAGCTACAAGTGATAAGGCAAAGCAGATAGATTAAGAAATAAGAAGCAGAAAGGTAACAATCTTGCAAAAGACCTCTTCAAGTCAATTGACTTCCCTGCCCCTGCGAAGAAATTAAACTACTCTGCTTTTGTAAATATGAATAGGAAACTAAGGTGAGGCTAGCCCTTTGTTTTAGCACCAACATCCACATACTTATTATATTTATTTTAATCTGTTTTATTCTGCTTTGGTATATTTTATTTCCTGTGTGCAACCTTTTTCTCCAGTCATTTGCATCTAGGGTCAATGAAGGTAATAGAAATGATTATGAAAGATAATGAGCTATAGCTTTATATCTGGGTTTGACTCTTAATAACAAACAGATATTACTAATTTCATAAGTCAGGGTCACTTTATGTGCAATTTGACTTTATTAGATTTGGTGATCTTATTTAGTGACATGTAAGGGAGCTCTCTTGTCAGCTTTCACCTTTTTCTGCTTTCTTCTCTATATAGAGGAAAAAGAGCTAAAATTATTAATCTTGGGTAGGAAAACTGATTTTTCCTTTTGAAACACTTATGAATTAAACATCCTCAAGAGATAGTGGATCATCCAGGTTCCTAGGTAAAGGGCAGACCTTTTCATGTAAAGCTTACTGGGATGCTGTGCCACGTGCTCTAGGTGACCCTTGTGTGCAGCGGGGGGTTGGACTAGATGATCCCTAGAGGTCCCTTCCAACCTTAAGGAGTCTATGATTCTATGTTGGTTTGTCTATGAAAACAGTGTCTATAGAATAAAATTCTTAATCTGTTACCTGGATGGTGGTGAAAAATCAGATTTGAAAAAAAGGAGGCTGTAGGACACAGCAGTGAATAAGACTGAGGATGGAGAAACTGGACTTGGGTTTTGAAATCACTGGGTCAGATTTGTTTCTGCTGTAGTCAAGAGGGTGAATCAAGAAAGCACTTGTTCCATTTCTGCATCTTGAAAGACAACTGGAAACTAAAGCATTGGCAAAAGCTTTGTGTATAAACACAACAGAAAGCAGTGGAAAACAAAAGATTGACCTTGTGTAAGAACCAAGAATGTAGAAGTGGAAGGGCTTCTGCCTCAATAGAAATGCCATTCGCCATTTCAATTTTACTGCCAGGAAGCACTTTTTTTTTTTTCCTGCAAAGTTCTTGCCTTTCTTATGACCAAACAGCCTGTCCTGCTTCATTACACTATCCTCTATATTGCAAAATATGTGGATGGAAACTTAACCAGTTGTGTTAAGGGCGTTCTCTCCAGTTTGACCATAAATGCCCATCCCAACCCATCTGTTACAGGTGGCAGATGTGGAGAGTGACCCAGAAGCAGGAAGGGGACCTGAGGGTAGTAGATCTGTACTGGCAGGTGAGATGGGATGTCTGGTGTATAACTGCTTGCATCTGCACCACTGTGTCCAGAAAATGTTGTCTGCCCATGATGGGCCTTGTAAGCTGGTGAACGCTCTTCACCCATGAAGACGCATGAAGTTGAGTAATACTGATTTGCTTAATTTAATCACTCCACTCAGTTGTGGAAGCAGCTCCATTACTCATTCTCAGGGACAACATCAGAGATCACTTATACAGTTGCTTTTAGCACTACATCCAAGGAGACGCATGAATCTACACAGAGGTAGCTTTTAGGCATCTTCCTCTAGATACAGTATTTTTCTTAGCCTTCTCCCCCTTTCAGCAGCTGTACTGCAATTTTTTAGCTATGGTCAGCAGTCCCATTTAAGTCTGATAGCACTTATAGTCTAAAACCTCCTGTAATAATACAAGCAAAAACAAGGGGACCCAGTGCTGATCTTTTACAACCAGTGGCAAAACTTCTCAAGGGCAGTGACAGGAGGATGACGCTAATGAAAAACATTTTGGAATGAAAAACTCAGCCAGAGGACCCCAGCTGCTAGTCTGTAAATCTGCTTTCAGATCTAACCTGATCAAATGCCAAACAAAGGGGAATTTAATCTGATATTTTCCTTGTTGGAGGGCTAGTAGGTTGAATTTAATGACTGGGAATGTATGGTTGCTGTGTCTTGCATCTAAACCTCAGCCCTGCAACATCTGCTGTCTTGATGGCAGCAGGGTGAACGAGACTCGCATCTCCCCCGAGGCAGCCCAGGTGGCTGTTGAGGGAGCAGCAGGTGCTATTTTCTGCTATATTGGTGGAGGCCTCAGTGCCCTCTGTGAGGGTCTTGGGAACTGCAGGCTTGGCAGGGAAATCCTGCTCCCATTGATCCATAGCAAGCTCCTGTCAGCATTACTAAGGCTAGGCTTTTGTTCAGTATTCTTATGTACACAGTGGGGAAGGCAGGCTCTAAAAGTGCAAACTATGTAAGTTTTATATGGTAACCTAAATTACTTCAATTACTACACATGGAAACAAATGGCTTGATTTTTAAGAAGATCCCCTGTT